GCCACAAATATTGAAGTCGTAATATCACTAGAAAAGCGTTTAAAGCACATAAAATCATATTAAAATATATACATTTACAAGTATGTACTGTATTTACAGTACAGTACATGCATTCGTAAATTTAGATTACTTTTTTCTGTACTCTATTAAAAACTAAAATTTATTTGTTTGTAAGCTTAAAATAGATTCTTATTAACCATATATTATTAAAAATGCATTAATAAATAAAATACAGAACTGGGAATAGTAATTTATGGTTTAGCCTAGTGACAAGTAGATTCGGAGACAAGTAAATTCGACTTACGTCGTTTTTCGACTTAAGTCGTTTTCCTGGAACCAATTACCGACGTAAGGCAAGGTATACCTGTACAATGTCAAAGAAGTGGCAGCCAGCAAATTCATTACGTAGCGTGTTTTTTGATGATATTTTTCCGAATTGAAAAATACCTAGAAGTTTTGTAATCTGTGTATCTGCTGCAACTATTCATTCTACAAGTTCTTCTGACTGCACTGAAGTTTCACACTAAGCAAAACTCCATTGTCCTCTACTGCTTTTTCCAGTCATAAGTATAATAAGCAAAGTATTTTAAGTATTTTTACTCTATATTTATGAAATTTGATATATTGTATAACTACATATCAAAGAATTCACTCAATGTCTTAGTAATCAGTTCAGCGATTTTGAATTTTTATTAAACTTTTTATTATATATATTTATATCATAATACAAATTAACACACGTAAAATAAATAAAAATATAGAAATTAAAAAAAAACTTTATTTGAATGTAATTAAAATTTTTATAAAATTATTTAATTGAAAGCAAAAAACATAAAATAACTATATCTTGATGATTCATACTGTAAATCTATATAAACATACAAATAAACATAAGAAAAAAAGACATTTTGTTTTATTATTCTTGTTAAAATTCTGATTTTTCTATTATTATACTAGTCACACTGAAAGCACATAATTAGAAATTTATATTTTGTCATTGTCTTCATAGAATATTTTGTCATTGTCTTCATAATTAGAAATTTATATTTTGTCATTGCATTCAATATTTTAATTTCCCAATAATTAAACATTTAAAGATCTAATTTTAGAAAATTATATTCATACTATCACTGTTATTTAATTGATTAGTTACTCACAAAAACTAAAAATTTTTAAGATAAATTAATAATAAAAATAAATTACCTTTTTATTTATATGACTTTTCTGTTCATGAAATTTTCCTGAATGTAGTTTATAAGTAATCTGCTTATCTAATCCAACTGAAAACAATTATGATAAAAATTCATTATTAAATTAATCTATAATATTTATGAAAATATATAATTTACTCAATAATAATTAATATTCATAAAAACAAATTATGACATTATAATACTGGAAATTCTTGAAATTCAAGCAAACTTACAAAGAAAAAAAAAATTTAAAAATACCATCCAAATATGGTGTTTTTAAATTTCTCTCTTCTTCATAAGTTTTTATAAAGTAAAATGACACTTTCTTTCTTTGAAGCATTTTTTTACATCTCAAGATTAAAAGGCATCAAAAATGTTAACAATGTATTGTTAGACTGGATGTTGCTTTTCGGAGAGATTAGTAAAAGGGAGGTTGGACTAACATAACCGGTTGTGTAACAAAAGAACAAAGAGTGCACAAAGATTACACACAGTCTTTACTCCCGGAAGGTCAGTGCTAGAAAGGGGAGAGTGAAACGAAGTCACCTTGCCCGAGGGGTCAAGAGTGCCACCAACCTTTTATTACGTCAGAACATTACAAAACATCACGATCGTTGATTCCAACACACCCCCTCAACGATTGATCATTACTACAATCCAATATCGCAAGTAAATTTCTTAACCTTATTCGCGTCTAGCGGCTTTGTTAACAAATCGGCCGTCATCTATTCACTTGGATAATAGATTACAGTAATTTCTCCCGAATTCTTTAAATCATGTACAAAATGGTATTTTGTGTCAATATGTTTCGTGCGCTGTTGTGCTTTTCCTAATTCTAAAAGTCGAATACAACTTTGATTGTCCTCAAATATTTTGATAGGTGCTATAATCAGTAGATTTATTTCTTCTAGAAGTTGTTTCATCCATACAGTTTCTTGGGTAGCTTCTGCCAAGGCTACATACTCAGCTTCGGTGGACGAAAGTGCTACACACTGTTGCTTTTTACTAATCCAATGGATAGGATTTCCTTTTAGCAAGAGCAAATATCCTGTGTTCGATTTGCAGTCTATGTGATCGCCTCTCCAGTCGGCGTCTACATAACATTTAAGTTCTAATTCTTCATCAATATTTCCTAACTTAAGTTTCTTCTTTTGTGTCGAATTAAGATAATGAAAGATTCTTTTTACTTCCACCCAATCACTTTCCAAAGGTTTTGTTACTTTTTTCACTAATATTTATGTACTTATCGCAATATCTGGATGCAAGTTAGTCGCTAGATATAATAAAAATCCAAAGCACTTCTGTATACATTGTTGTTTTTGAACATATCAGGCATTTCATTTCTTCTTAAGTATCCTGTATCCATAGGAATATTAGATGGTCTTGAATCGGATAAGTTAAATTTCCGCAATTTATTTTCGATATATCTTTCTTGGTGGAGTGAAAATATTCCATTCTCGTCTCTTTCAAATTGTATTCCCAGATAATATTTTAAGTCACCTAAATTCTTGATTTTAAACATTTCTTTCATTTCGGTCTCAAATTCGGTTAACGTATGTTTGTCTGTGGCCATTGCTATTACGTCATCTACGTGAATTGCTAAATACAAGCATCTTTTATGGCCTTTGGTATAAAGACAGGGATTGGCTACATTTCTTTTAAATCCTTTAGATAGCAATGTTTCATTGAAATTTTTATTCCATTCATTCGCTCCTTGTTTCAAGCCATACATATTTTTCAATAATTTGCAAACCATGTATGGCGATCCTTCTTCGTATCCTTCAGGTTGTTTCATGTATACCTCATGTGATAAGTCTCCATTTAAGTAAGCCGTTTCGATGTCATAATGCTTAAATTTCATGTTCTTAATTCCGGCTATAGTTAGGAGTGTTCGAAGGGTGGCAGTTTTGATCACGGGGGCATATACGTCATCATAGTCAAAGCCATACTTTTGCGTGTACCCTTGCGCGACTAAACGAGCCTTAAAACTATTAACTTTATTGTTTTCGTCTCTCTTAATTTTGTATACCCATCTGCTTCCTACTGCAGTTTTACCTGGAGGTAATTTCGTAGTTTCCATGTGCCATTATTTTTCATGGCTGCTATTTCCCTATCCATGGCTTCGCTCCATTCTTTGGAATGTTTGCCTGCGATTGCCTCGCTATATTCTCTTGGTTCTACTCCATCATCAGTCACTGATAAATTTATTGTTTCAATTAACCTTATAGGAGGTACTCCCTTAGTAGTTCTTTCCAATCTCCTTAAATGTATGCCAGTTTCTTCCATTTCTTGTTCCATTGTTTTCGTTTTGTATTCTTCTTTTAAATTTGTATTATTAACTATTGTAACTTGTTTCAAATTTTCATTATCATCGTGTATATCGATTTCGGAGTCTCTGTGCTTGACGTTTTCCAGAAAGTGAACATTTCTGCTTATTGTTATCTTATCAGTTTTTGTGTCAACTAATCGATAAGCTTTCGATGCTCTCTCATATCCTACAAAAATTAGTTTTGTGGCTTTAGGTTCTAGTTTCTTTTGATCTTTACGTTTAATAACATAGGCTGAGCATCCGAAAATTCTTACATGCGAGAGGTTTGGCTTCTTTTCATGCCATTTTTCGTATGGAGTTATTTCACTCGCTTTAGTAATTAATCTATTCTGTAGGTAATTTGCATTATTTACTGCTTCTCCCCAGTATTCGTTTGGTAATCCAGCATCAATTAACATGCATCTTGTCACTTCTGTCAGGTACCTATTTTTCCTTTCTGCTACTCCATTTTGTTGAGGGGAATAAGGTGCCGTAGTTTCCCATAGAATACCTTCATTTTTAAAAAACGTCTGTAAGTTGGTACTTGAAAATTCACCTCCTCTGTCTAATCTGATTCGTTCAGGAGTTCTTCCAAATTTTGTTTGTACATATTTAACATATTCCTTTATTTTATCAGGTACTTCACTTTTATGTTTAAGAAGATATATTTCGGTGTACCTACTATAATCATCTATCATCGTTAAAATGTATTTGTTGCCTCTCGTCGTTGCTGTTTGTATTGGTCCGCATACGTCAGTGTGTATTAATTCAAGTAATTGACAGGTTTTAGTTTCCGATTTCTTTGGAAAACTCTTAGGAGTCATCTTGGCCTTGATGCAATATTCACAAGGTTTGAATATGCGACATTTCTGAATATTTATTCCTGTAGCCAATTGCTTATTCTGCATCGAAATTATAGAGTTCATGTCACGATGCCCTAATCTTCTACGCCATAAATGGATGCATTCCTTCGTATCATTAACTACTGTAAACGCTTTATGAGATTTATCTAGCTCAAACAAACATGTGTTTGCTGTTGCTGTTGCTACTGTTACTCCATTTTTCTGGATAGAACAAATGTTCCCTTTAAATTTTATGGCAAACCCTAATCTCGTTAGTCTTCTGACTGAGATTAAATTTCCTTTAAGGCGTGGCACATATAACACGTCTTTCATATATATTCGACATTGTTCATTATTTTCATCCATGCAGGTTATCATTACACTACCTTTACCTTCAATGTGTAGAGCTTGACCATTGGCTAGTATCACTCTTTCTCTATGTTTACTATTAATGGTTGTGAATAAATGCTTCTCGCAACATATATGTGACGAAGCCGAGTCTACGTACCATTGATAAATTTCGTTCTGTGTTCCTGTCTTAAAACATACATAGGATTCCTTTTCCGGATGTTGTTCATCACTTTCCGCATAAATTTTGTTGATCTAATTTGGATATTTTTCTTTCCATGTTGCGTATTTCCTACATTCTTTCTTTACATGTCCCATTTTTTGCAAAAATAACAACTTTTGAGCAAATTGCTTTTCTGAACTACTGGGTGTGCTCCCACTTTAAATGTTTATCCACTTCATATTCTTTATTTGATGAGGTCTTTCTTCTTAAGTGTTCCTCAAGTAATTTATTACATACTAACTCCTGAGTTAAATCTTCTTCTAGACGAGTCTCTAGTGCTGTTATTAAAGTGTTATAGCTGTCTGGCAAGCTACTAAGTAATAATGCTATCTTTAATTTCTCAGCTAGAGTTTCTCCCAGTGCCGTAAGACGATCAACCAATTCTTCCATGTTGGCCAAGTGTATCTCCATGTCGCCATTTTCTTCTAGTTTTAAATTGCAAATTTTCTTCAATAGATAAACTTTATTTGATAGTGTAGACTTAACATGGTATTTCCTTATGGCTTCCCAAGTTCCTTTAGCTGTAGTTTCCTTTCTTACTAATGGCAGTTGATTGTCTTCAATCAGGAAATCTATCATGGCGCATGCCTTTCTGTCCTTTGTTAACCAAGATGAGTCAGGATCTGAGGGTATTTCCTTTTGTATTACGTCCTATAACTCTTCTTTTATCAACAGCAATTCCATCTTATATTTCCAACTGTGATAGTTGTTGTTGTTCAATTTAGTGATGGCAACGTAACTTTTAGTAATCAATAGGATGACGAACACGCCAAATTAATATATAATAACAAAAACAAATACACTGAGTTAAGCGTTACATGTAACGCTGAACTCAGTGTATTTGTTTTTGTTATTATAATGTAACTTTTATCAGCCATTGTGAAATCTTTTGTGTTCTCACTGAATATTCTTCTTACGTAAGTTTCTTGAATTTACCTTTTTTTTTTTCTTTTGTGTTCTCCTTATACTTAATTAGTTGTTGCCGTAACTGGGCCCATAACCTGTTAGACTGGATGTTGCTTTTCGGAGAGATTAGTAAAAAAGGCAGTTGGACTAACATAACCGGTTGTGTAACAAAAGAACAAAGAGTGCACAAAGATTACACACAGTCTTTACTCCCAGAAGGTCAGCAATAGAAAGGGGAGAGTGAAACGAGGTCACCTTGCCCGAGGGGTCAAGAGCACCCCCAACCTTTTATTATGTCAGAACATTACAAAACATCACAATCATTGCTTCCAACATGTATAAGAGCATTAGAATACAGGGTAATAAGAATATAGGAGTTTCATATATGTGTATTTTCTGTATTACTTATCTTATACAGTCATGACAGAGGAATTTCATATGTCATTTGAACGTAATTATATAAATTATATAATTACAAATTTCGTAATCACATCAAAGCAGTTCAAATGGTGATTACATAATGATTTTAGTATCGGAAGGTGTGTGCACAATGAATACCACATTTGCTCAGCAACCACCATAAGGCAGAATGCATGAGTTGGAGTTTGGAGCAATACAAGTTGGATGATGCTGATTTTCTGTCATGCATCATTGCAGGTGATGAAATGTGGTGCCACACTTTGAGACAACTGGGAAAGCATGCAATGGAAATACCCCGGCTCACCAACACACAAAATATTCAAATCACAGGCCTCTGGCTAAAAAGTTATAATCACATGTTTTGACATTGTGGGGCCTTTGCTAGTCTGCTACAATGCAACATTGAACAAGATGCACAAAGCCATAACTTTCAAAAATAATAGACTATTGATAAACTAGTTAAATCCCTGGCTATTAGACATGGAATTTTACAGCAATTTTGTAAGCCCATCTTTAATAAAAAAGCATTACAAGCCATTTTTTATGCTAATTTTTAATCTCGCATTGATTATGGATTGCCCATCTGGTAAATGGCTGCACCTTCCCTTTTACACAAGATTACTTCTGCTATTAATAAGATATACCTCATGTTTGACATAATATTTAATCTGCCTTTCATTATTGACTCTAATATTGCTAGAATTTGCCTGGGCAACCCATCTTTCTTTGAGAAAATTAAATATTTTGATCGTATAACATATTACAAACATTTTAATGGTCTTATTTATCAAGATTGGCTTTCACTTCAACTTCACTCATTTACTTATGTTTTTACCCCTTTTTATTGTCTAAATCTATCCCAATGATCTTTCTTCTACCATATATCACAAAACTAATAACTTTGATAAATCTTTACATCTTGATCTCCCTGATTTTAAATTGAAATGTAAAAAAGCATTGTATCTCTTTTAAGATTTTTACCTGTTTTTATTTCATTTTACTTTTTATTGTTTTTGTTTTAAGGGGTGCTATTTGTTTTTAAGATACAGTCGACCCCCCTATAATTACGGTCCCTATAATTACGATTCCTATAAAACTACGAAAAAATATACGTATTTTGGAAATGTTGAATCGGATTAGTGTAGAATCGATTAATTTTATGGAAGAAAACCTTTCAATCAGCCGTAGTCCGTAAACTTGACACGTGTCGGGCTGTGATTGGAACGACTTGTAAGAAATCGGATTCCTAATAAATTGGAACGTATCTATATCTTATAGGGGGGTCGACTGTATATGTTTTTGTAAGGGGCAGAAATCAAATGTCTATCCAGACTTTTCCTGTAAATTTAATGAAAAAAACAACCAGGCATGCTATCATGTGGTGTGATTTTGTTGCTTGACTGCATGTTGTAAAAGCTGTGCAAGATGTTTTAGCACAAGAAGGTTAGAAGGTTCTGCACCACCCTTCCTCTGTCACCACATGACTTTCTTTTTTCAGACATTTAAAAAAAGCTGAAGGGACAACAATTTAATTCTGATGTGGAAGTCAAGGAAGCAGTCATTCAATAGTTTGAGGACCAACCAACATTGTTCTTTGCAAATGATATTCATCATCTCTCCAAGCAGTGGGATGCATTTCTGAATGCTTATAGTGACCTGGATGCTCTTTTGTTCATTAAAAAGAATGACTTTTTTAAACAAACAAAAGTGCATTCCAACTTTCTCATATATTGCCTTGTTTAATTATGCCATACTGACTTAATAAATTTACTCAAACAGGTTTCATTTGATCAATTTTTGTATATACCGTATTTACTTGCATATAAGATGAGGTTTTTATCCATTTTTCACTGCTTCAAAAACCTAGGTCATCCTATATATGTGAGCAAAGGATTCTTTTTGTTTTTGTATAACTTTTGTAAACTATGTATTCGCATATTTTATCAAATTCTCACCTGGTGTTTAAAAACAAAAGTATTTTATGTGGGTCGTTTGAATTGTTCTTGTGTATTGCCAGGAGTAAAGATGAATAGCAATAGGAAAAGCAAAGCTTTTGAATTGAATTCCAAAATCACACGGAGCCCAATATAAGTTTTAATCCATTCCCATGTCAAAACAGATGATTATTTGGAAATTCGAAGAAACTCATAAGTGTAATCGACGAAGAGTGAATTCGACTGTTAAGAATTGGCAAAAAAGGTTCCCGATTGTCCAGCTTTACATGAACAAATGATGTTGTCGATTTTATAAGATTTTTCCTTGAAGTTTAAGATGCCAGTAATTTTTGCGGGACAATGTGTGCATTTACGTACATTTGATATTTTATTTGTTATTAAATGAAGTAAAATTAAAAGTGTATTAATAAATTTAATTTTCTTTATTTTGATCTTTAAAGTCACACCTTGTCCAATATGAGATCGTCTTGTATTCAAGTAAATATGGTAATTTAATTGTCACTATATTTTGATTTAAAGTAAAAAAAAATTTATGATCATGCCTGCATTCTTGTCTATACTATTTTTAATGTTTTTATAGAATAAACATATGTCAATTATTATGATTAAATAAATACTTATCATGAAATTTAATACAACATACAATTAATAATTTATGCTTTTCATAATAAAACTTCTTAATTTTTTAATGCGATTAAAAGCAAAAACATTTTATTCTAGTAAAATCATTTGAAAAAGTTTTCGGGCCATCTTGAATGACCATCCTTAGGTTCTGGAATAAGATTATATAAATTAAATTATTCATCCAGTATATTTGTTTTGTGCTTAATCTTTTCATCAAGATAAGAAAAAGTTTTGCAGAATATTATGGCTTGCAACAGTTCATTATTAATGTGTAATATTAAATATATAAAAAACATTTATTGTATATGATAACGTTCCAAAATACAAAAAAGTATTCTATGCATTCTTTAATCTCTAGTCGTATCCATTTTATTTACTTTATGGAAAACTTTTCTTCCACTTAATATCATTCTTAAAATCTCTTTAAGATGGTCAATTTTCATTTGAAAACATCTTTTCATTTACTTTTTACATTATTTTTTTGTTAATATGTAAAGATTGAGTGTTGATACTGTGATGTTCAAAGTGATGTATATGTGATTCCTCAAAAAGGAATATATAAAAAATATTCAATACAGTAAGGTCTATAACACAAATCAATTTTATTCACCTCAAATAGGTTGAAATAATAATGATCCCAACTCACAGGCAGTAATTAAGCGTATACAACAATCAAATGTTCCTTTATATGATTGAGCTGACCAAGATGCGACAATATTAGCGTGAGGACTTATAACTGTGACTTAACTTAAATATAAACTAAGAAGGAGAAAAAGAATAGACAGAAGAAAGAAGCACCCGGGAATTTTTTAGTCACGTGTCTCAGGTGGGCCACTGTTAACTGATATTTGGTTGATTCCTGCACTTATCTGTATTGTTCTTCTGTACTGGACCAGTCCACCTTCCTTTGAAGTTTTCTTATAATTGCTTCACTCCAGATTCCTTGATGAGAAAATATTAGCTTTTGGAAAATTCTTCTCTGAACTACACTCTTTATGTTACAATTCAGGAGCACTCCGAAAGCTGACTCAACTCTATGGGATTAGGTTCTCTAGCTCTTTTCTTATGTCTTTGTCACCTCTCATCTCTCCACCCGTAACCAAGAGCACAACTCTACAATGCTTCCTTTTGCATCGAGATCTCGACCAAAACTGAGCTTTATCCTTCCATTTTCCTTCTTTTGAACCCCCTGGGTTTCATTACCTCCTTGTCTTACCACATCCATTCTGAGAATTGGTAATCTCGCCTGAGGGGAAAAGGATTAAGAAAGAAAGTTCTAGAATAGTGAAGATAAAGAACAAAGAAAAAAACTAAGCCTAAAATATAATATATACAGTCAACCTGTAAGGAACCAAGTCCGAGCATTATTTTTATTTACTTTTTATTTTGCTTTTTCTTATATTTTGTTTGGGGCTTATGTTTTGTTAGATGAAGGTTTCCTCATCATTCACCTTAGAAACTTAAAAACAGAAGAGAAACCAACTCACCAACGAGGGAAAGCACCGTAGAAAAAACTTGCGCACACTTGCGCTCCCGAGCAGAAAAAAGTAGGTCCACACCGAGAAAAGGGGGGAGACCCCACAAGCACAACTTAGGAACTCACTAAACCTGAAAGAATAAAAAGCATCCCCAAAATTGTCAAAAAGAATAATGTAAAAGGTTAGCGAGTATTGTTGAAAAATAGGCTGCCAGACAAATAGAAAAAGTTTATTGTTAGCAAATAAGTATGTAAATGAGGGGAGTGATCGCATTCAGAATTGTAACGTCACCTCACAGTAAAAAAGACTGAACCTCAAGAGAAGACGAATGAGGTGAGCTTCTGATAGCAACAAGCTTGGTGAGCTTCGTAGCAGTGAATGAGAGAGGTGTCCGATAAGATCAAATAGTTCCAAGATGATTTTGAAGTTATTCGATTTGTGGATCGACGAATAGAGAAAGTCTTGAGAGTTGAAGAAATAGGTTCCTAGTATATTGAGGTGACGATTAGGATCTTTAATTCATAAGAATTATTGTATATAAATTAAGTCTTTGAAATTTTGTCGAATTCCAAAGGGGAATAGAATTAAGTTAGAAAAATTAGAGTTTTGTCGGGTTGATTCTTATTGACTTTCATTGAATAAATTGTTATTTGATTTTACTAAATATTGTATATAGTTATTATTAAAATTATTTATAAAATATATTTGATTTGTTATTGACAAACTTGGTCATTATTTAATTCGGTGCATGCTTAAAGTCCAGGCCTGGCACGTTAACGTGAATCTGCGTAAAGTACCCGTTAGGTAACAGCTATTTCCAGCACACAGTCGTGTTGTGTTGATAATCATTGTAGAAGGCGGAAAAATAATATAGTACTTTACAGACCCCCTGTAACACGGGTTCCTATAGTTTGGATTCCTATATCACAACAAAAAAATTGCGACAGTATTCGTACAAACATGCTAAAAAAACTCCTATAATTTGGTAAAACATCATCGCCGACTCGTGTCACGACAGGATTGCACAAATCGTTGAGTTTAAACAAGCAGCAGAACTACCAAAAACCATTTATTATTTAACATCCATAAAAATTATATTTATATTAATGATGTCTCCAAAGTTCAGCAAATTTTTCGCAAAAAAATAATTTATCAAGAAGCACGTGAGTGCCATTCGATGACAATCTCCATGACGAAAACAAGCTTAAGCAACGGCGTAGTCGAATGGTGCACTCAGTAAGTAATCCTACAATTTTTTGTTTATAGCATAGTTTATATGGATTATTCCCAAAAAATTATACGTATTTTGGAAATGTTGGGTAGAATTAGTCTAGAATCTATTAATTTTATGGAAGAAACCTTTCAAACAGCCATATTCCATAAACTGCATACGTGCCAGGCTGTGATTGGCTGGACTCCTAGAAGCTGGATTCATAAAAACAGGAACATATCTACCATGTTATAGGGGGGGTCGACTGTATACAAAAAACTATACATTAATATGGTTTAAGGCCACAATACAATACAAAGGTGACAAAAGCAGTATACAGAGTTTAATACCAAAACACAAATGGTGAACAGATACAATTAATACACTTTATTTACACAGAAAAAAAATAAGTGTCAGGATCCAACTAAGGTTGGATACCAGTGAGTTTCCCATGTCGAGAGTATACAAAGTTACAATCCAAAAATAAATGTTTCACTTGTAACAGAAGTAACCCGAAATTAATATTACCTTAAACTACCTTACAATCTAAAAGACAGGAAAGTAGGATACAGAAATTAGAAGGATAGAGATAGAAAGATCAATAGGGAAAATACCTGGAATTTTGTTGGGGGATACTGTTCCTCACTTGTGAGATGAAGTCCACAAGGAAATCTTCTGGCTTTATCATTTTCTGTCTTTCATCACAAATATAGTTCCGTTGCTTATCCAACTTTGTGATGATAGAAAGTCTCTTGTTCAGAAAAGGGTACTGATAAAACTTATATCCTGTTAAGCCACATGGTACTCACTGAAGTTTAACCTTTTTCACTCTTTTGTTCTTACCTCCTCAGACTATCAGGACCTTTGTGTGTCCTCTCCAAAATCAAGCTCAAGAGTAACCAGTTTCTCTTCCCCTTTGGGCTCATTGTTGTTCTATCTACAGTATTGTTACTGATGTTTCTTGGAACAGATCCCCCATTGACAAAAGAAGGATTAAAAAGGGATAGAAAATTCTAGAAAGGGAAGGTAAAGAACAAAGGAAATATGTTGAGAATTAACTTAATTAAAACATGAAAATTTTAAATAAATAGACAAGTATTATACACAAATCTATATATATAACCCATTCAACAAATGTCTGTCCGTCTGTCCCGTAACTGTTTGATAATGGACACTAGAGGGGTCCCTATCGTGTGTCATATTTCAAACATTCAAATTAAATTAACAATGTAAATTATTATTATTCATTTTGCCAATAAATTATTATTTGGTCAATATAACAATATAAATAATTCAGTATATTTATAATAGGAATTTATTATTGTCATGGAAAGCATGTAATGTTCACTAGGGGGCAAATAACAAAAAACCGGATAGGTTTGAATCACTACGTAAGACGATAAGGTTTGAAATAGTTAAGGTAATATAAGGTAATATTTTAATATCTATTAACCCATTCAACGGGTAATGGCAATTTGTAAATAACGCCCACTAGGGAGTGTCCCAGGCTACTAGTATTATTATATTTCACTTGTAAAGATGTTTCTGTCTATGATGGTTTTAGTATAAATTATAACTTCCATAGCTGGAAATACTTACTGTAAATGACAAAGCTAAGACATGCCCCTAAAAGTGGCTGAAAACAATTTTTTGTTCTATGAAATTATTGCTGGAAAAAGTATGAAAGGTGTGTTGTCATTTATGACTTTAGCATGCATTGTTATAAAAATATTCCTTCTAAAGACTGAAAGGTTAAACTTTTAAATGAAAAAAGTGTAAATCATTCACATATTTTTTAAAAAACATAATTATCATCAGAAAATAAGCCAAAGGATTTTAGAATAAAATAACATTAAATATTTACTAATTAAACATAAAAATTATGGACATTGAATTCATTTATATAATATTATTTAAATAATAAATTAAATCCATAAGCAATATTCTCAATGTGAAATGCAAACATGAAATATAATCAAAAAAGTTTTAAAGACTAAAGATTTATTCTACTTACCATAATGTTCACTAATTACATATACTTTAAGTTCCATATTCTCTTTACATGCTTGAATTTGAAATTTTTTCATCAGTTGTCCCATTTTAATCAGAGTCGAGTCCCTAGATTTAGAGAAATTCATAAAATTCACGTAAGTAAAGAGAATTTATATGACTAATTACTTCATATTAATTCAATACAATAACAATAATTGTAATATACAGTATGAACTATTTGTTCAGAAAGGAAAAAGGGGAATAATAATAATAATTATTGTTGTTGTTGCTATTATTATTATTATTGTTACTATTGTGATCTATGTAATTTTAATGTTTTTTAATTCTGCTATTTGTGTTGTGGGCATTTCCAACAGATGGCACTCTGATTCTAAGTATAAACATTAAGCTGTGGGAGTTTAGAATGTGTAAGACAAAGTATTACAACCAAACTACGAGGAATGAACAGTTTATTATCAAAGTTGTTAATTAACAGGATACCGATGCCCGTCACAGAGACGAAATTCCAGATATAGTTACAAACGGGTCTCTGCTCTCATTCAGTTTTCTTACATAAATTTAATCACGTGATCCTATTATAACTAAACTACTTATAACTAACCTTAACCTAATACTATGACTAATACAAAAAAAAAAGAAAAAAAAAAAAGGGGTCTACTGGTAGTTAGCAAAACGGGGTCATGATCTGGGTGGTCGAACACTGTGGACGTCCAATCCGTTAACATCGGATTTTATACTGTGCCTTGGGTGTTCAATCTGCACCGAGGTATCTCTTCAGACTTTACCAGAACGAGTCTTTTGATTAGTTCTTGACTCTGTCCCCTTGGTTCTCTAGGCTCTCTCTCTGTCGATGTTGACTAACTTACGTTCCAGAGGAGTCGTCCACAACTTGCCTTCTTGGTGCCCAACCCAAAAGTGGTCGTCTTTCTCATGCTTTGTCTTAAAAAAAAATCCACAGGCAGGACCCCTCCCTGTCGGCAAACCACTAATCAGGACCCACGAATTTCCCGCTCCTGTCAGGTGACAGGAAAAGGTTACTAGCGGAAAGAAGAAGGGGGAAAGGAAAGAATAAAGGAATTCTGAATCTATATACAGTATTTATATAGACAAAAATGGCAAACAGCCACAGAGCCCTCTTTTGTGTCTGATCTTTTTGTCTGCCAAGAGTTGGGTCGTTCCTTCACCTTGGATCTCACTATCGTCCAAACTTTAACACCTATATACTGGCCACGAGCCGACCTCCCTCCTCGTCAACATATGGAAATCTTGAATTGATTTGTGTACTGCACTAATCGTTTTGCCTAATAGCTAAATGGTGCACTTCAGAGAAAAAGCTAAAAGGCTATAGTCGCCATATGAAACAATAAAAAAGAAAGAAAGTGTCTGATCCTTTCTATTTTGTGTGTACAAGAACAGGACATGTCCTCAATAAAAGCTCTGTAGTAAAGTAGTAAAATCTAGTTTTTTTTTGTTGCTAAACCATACAAAATATGAACACTATTGATTTTATTAAATGCAAGCTTTGTACTGAAAGTGTTATGGCCACATTAATTTTACTTTTAAATAACGACATTCTGATGAAGTCTATGTACTTTTATTTACTTTTCTATGAAATCTCTGTTCTGATCAATGCATGTTTTTCATTGTTATGGAAGTTTGAAAATTCCCTTGCATTAGAAATCTATCAATATTTCAGCTACTTGGATAAGACTAAAACAGCTTGAATAACTGTCAGAATTTTCATAATGCTGACTTCACAGCTGTTTCATAATAAAAACCAAATAGGTGTGTGAGGCTCTGGACAGGTCTGAACCTCATTGAAATTCGCATTAAATTCATTTATTTTTAAGGACAAAATTATCTTTTTTTAAAAAAAAAATAGAAGGTAAAAATAGTTTTTCTTAATGAAAATGACATGAACTTTTCAGAAGTCTTAAACAATAGAACAATGGAAAAGTGTAAACCAACTATCTCCAGATGGGAATGAATCGAATTAAACTTTGATTTTGACCTCTCCCTCACCCCCAAAAAGTTTCAAATTGTCACTAGGTGACAAGGAGAGACCAATCAGTAAGTGGAATTGGATGAAAATGGATAAAACCTGAGAATTCAAGGATGCAAAAAGAAAAAAAAAAGAAGGGGAAATGGAAAGAAAATGGATAAAACCTGAGAATTCAAGGATGCGACAACTTCTTCTCCCAAAATTTCCAAGTGGCATGTCTGTCTCGTGCCCATCTTCATCTCCATCTCCCAGCCTCGAATCAACATCTTTCCGTCAACGAAAGTCAACCACATCATCCTGGAGTCATTGAGATGTCGATGGAATTGGTCATTCATGTGAGATTAGCAGTGGGTCACTGGTTAATCCCTAAATGACCACTTACTCTGCACAGGCTGGTAAAGCCCGATCTCGGAATCGGATGGCTAGGAGGGCAAATAGAGTGGAAAGGGGTGAGGAAGCTGACAGGTGTCCTTAAATGACAGGAAACAGGTTCAACACAATAATAAACATTTATTGAATGGCTAAACTATGATACATAAGGCGATAACAATATATAGGTTAAATGCAGTTAGATACAACTCAGAATAAATGCGGATAACATACTATACTCCTTCCTCCAAGGGTTAAACTAAAAATACACTTAGGGAGAGAGAGAGTCCGGAAGTTCAAATAATTACCTCAAGGAGAACTCTATGTGGCGAATAAGTGTTATGTGGAAGTTCCTATGGTCTTCTATATGGTATCTTCTTTTGTTGAATCAAGTCCATTATATGGAGGTCCGGGAGATGAGATGCACACATCGACAAGTATAACTTCTGAGAGATCGCCCTGAGCTTCTGGAAATTCAAGCTTTTATATCATTCGCATGGACATGTGATTGATGATGACAATGCATTCTTCATACCTAAGCGTAAACTTTCCCTTCTAATTGTTATTACAATCGGTGAAATCTGATCTAATTCAAATTCCTTGGGATTTTTCTGAAGATATTTACACTTAAAATAAAATTTAAATTTTTAAGAGCCCCGTAAAAATCTGCAGGCTCACATTCACGAACCAGAACACTCCTTCAAAATGGGACTATCTTGAAAAGGAGAGGAAGGCCCACCAATGGCCGAGTGGATTCTGTCTCCACTCATAGCGGCAGTGACCAGACCCTAAACACTGGCATTCGGTTGTGGGTTCACGCCTCAATCAGACAGGCTGGAAGCTTGGAGTTTTCTGGGTTTTCTCCTTGCAGCTGACACCTAAATAGGGGCCAGCTCCCCATTAAAGTCCTCCCAGAAAACATTCTATCCCCCTTCATGTTTCTTCTGGCCATCTTTTATAAGGCCAACTCTTCCGTCGCCTTGCGATCCATCTGCTGTCTCTTCTTCCCTTCGGAGTAAAAGCGAATAGCAATACACTCCTCTATCACAAGGAATAAAAAAGAGGAAGACCCAGAGGCCATTGCTGACATGAAACTTCTAAGATTGCGGAAATCTTGTAAGCTTCTTCGTGTCAAATAAATGGTTTCTTGTAACCGTAAAGTCTGTCTCGGTGCCGATCACCCACATACAACCCTTTGTGACTGCTTGACCCTCTTAACATTTTTCACCCTGTCGGCAACCTTACAGGTGATTATATAATAGGGCCAAGTCTAGGATGTACAAGGGAAAAATTTAATTTCTTTTCATCCAACAGTAATTGACAAACCTAAAAAAAAAAAAACTTTGTGATATTGAAAACTCTGCCATCTTGTGCAATGTGTAGTGATCAATTCTAAAATGTGTTGCAATTTCTTTAATTGATTCTCTCTTATAACAGCAGTGGTGTAACTAAAAGGGCAAGGGTGGCCACATGCCCCAGGCACCAAAACAAATCTGTAAAATTAAAAGCTCATGAAATTATTTTGTAATTAACATTGAATCAGAAATACTAAATACAGTCGACCCCCCTATAACGTGCGTTCCTATAACGACAATTCCTATAACGTAGCGAAAAAATTGTAGCAACATTCATATAAAATACCTCCTATAACGTCGTTTTGCGACAAGATTGATAGAATCTGGACCAATAGTGGATGAGCAGCCGAACTACTTTNCAGCCGTAGTCCGTAAACTTGACACGTGTCGGGCTGTGATTGGAACGACTTGTAAGAAATCGGATTCCTAATAAATTGGAACGTATCTATATCTTATAGGGGGGTCGACTGTATATGTTTTTGTAAGGGGCAGAAATCAAATGTCTATCCAGACTTTTCCTGTAAATTTAATGAAAAAAACAACCAGGCATGCTATCATGTGGTGTGATTTTGTTGCTTGACTGCATGTTGTAAAAGCTGTGCAAGATGTTTTAGCACAAGAAGGTTAGAAGGTTCTGCACCACCCTTCCTCTGTCACCACATGACTTTCTTTTTTCAGACATTTAAAAAAAGCTGAAGGGACAACAATTTAATTCTGATGTGGAAGTCAAGGAAGCAGTCATTCAATAGTTTGAGGACCAACCAACATTGTTCTTTGCAAATGATATTCATCATCTCTCCAAGCAGTGGGATGCATTTCTGAATGCTTATAGTGACCTGGATGCTCTTTTGTTCATTAAAAAGAATGACTTTTTTAAACAAACAAAAGTGCATTCCAACTTTCTCATATATTGCCTTGTTTAATTATGCCATACTGACTTAATAAATTTACTCAAACAGGTTTCATTTGATCAATTTTTGTATATACCGTATTTACTTGCATATAAGATGAGGTTTTTATCCATTTTTCACTGCTTCAAAAACCTAGGTCATCCTATATATGTGAGCAAAGGATTCTTTTTGTTTTTGTATAACTTTTGTAAACTATGTATTCGCATATTTTATCAAATTCTCACCTGGTGTTTAAAAACAAAAGTATTTTATGTGGGTCGTTTGAATTGTTCTTGTGTATTGCCAGGAGTAAAGATGAATAGCAATAGGAAAAGCAAAGCTTTTGAATTGAATTCCAAAATCACACGGAGCCCAATATAAGTTTTAATCCATTCCCATGTCAAAACAGATGATTATTTGGAAATTCGAAGAAACTCATAAGTGTAATCGACGAAGAGTGAATTCGACTGTTAAGAATTGGCAAAAAAG